AGTTTTATTTAAGAAAGGACTTGTATCGCTGAAGTTCCTCGGGAAGAATTTGTACCGGAAATTAACAAACGACCAGAGACGTAACAATACATTTATTCCACAATATAGAAAAAAAAATCTGTTGCAGCTACCATATCCTGAACTTATTTTCACAATCCTGTAATTTGAACATACTGTAGTGTTCCAAATACTCTGTCTTGAGTATCTGCTTGTGACCATTTGAATAATTTTAGAAACAAATAAGAGGCTTCCAAGTTAATTCTTTTAAACAAGGCTTTGAGTTAATATCAAAGTACGCTTTATCTATACCTTTAAGATAGTTGATAAAATAGAGACTAAGTCAGTGCAAAAAAGAAAACAAACCCGTCCTTTGGGGTCTCGGTTTCTGTTAGGATCACTAGGTTTCTTTAGGAAGGAGGCGAAGAGAAGAGTTTGTTGGACACTCAGGTCTGGACTGAAGTCAGAGTTCTGTTCAACATAAGCAACACAAGATTTTAACTTTGCTGGTGTCATGTGGAGACCATTGACAATGATCTCCCCAAGAAGACAACTTCGCCACTTGTCGTAACGATCAGCCAAGATATCTAGTATGGTGGTGCCCTCTAGTTCTAGAAGCATAAAACATTATACATTTGTTAATTTTATGAAGATTAAATATACTTGCAAAGAAGTTGGGGTAATAACGGGAGAAAACATTTTCTTCATCAAATAGTGCTTTTAAAATGTCACTACATTCAGTTTATAGTGGCTTAGATTTGATTTTGTTGATCAATATTTTTCAGGTTTTTTGGAATCATTAGAACTTTGTACGTAGTTAAGCATAAAGCTACACAATGGGCTATCTGTGCTGTGCCCACCACGGGTATAGAAACCCAGTTTATAGTGTTGTAATTCCGCAGATATACCGCTGTGTCACTGTGGGTTATTAGAACTTATGAGTGAAAGTAAAAAATAATGTATAACAATTATGTCATCTGACATATCGATACCCTTTCGATACCCTCACCTAGCTAATGATTTGTAGATCAGATCTAAATAAACCCAATTAATCTGTTGATATTACTGTAAACTGTAGTTGTCACCCCCAAAGTATAACGTGAATAATTTACAAACTACATTGACGAGACTTCTTTCACGGCCCCCCAGTTGGTCAGCAATAATTTTGCGGACTAAAATAGGGAGTTTGATTTCTCCATGGTGAGCAGAATGCAGATAGTCGATGATGTAACTTTGTTTTAAGCTATTCAATCTTTTCTAATGCTTGTAATAATTAACACAAAAACATACATTCGTTTTCGATGGATTCACCTATCTAAACAAAATAATCCACCTGTTGTTATGTTAGATGTTTCGAATCCTACTTCGCAAACAGTTATATCCACAAATTCAGTTTTTATAATCTGTCTTTAAAAAAGGGGGTTTTCAACTTTAAAGACAAACAACATCCATTGAATACTTCGCTTGTGGAATACGAGTTCCTGTGCCTGAGATGCAACCAGGGATATATTGAATCAACCACAAGAAGGCTCTGCAGTTGAATAAAAGGACACTGTAACGTTAAAGCCTGTCCCTCAATGGCACAGCGGCATGTCTGCGGACTTATAACGCTAGAATCCGGGTTTCGATACCCGTGGTGGGCAGAGCACGTATAACCCATTGAGTAGCTTTGTGCTTAATTACAAACAAACGTTAAAGCCTACAACACCAGTATTATTACCAAACACTGTCTAAACGAATGTGATGCCTACCTCCAATTTTCCCCCATTTATTTTCTATTCCCGGGAAGGTTCGACTTTAGAATTTTAGAATCTCTTTCTACTAAGCAAAAGAACCAGTTCTTAACCAGAAGATGAGTGCACCATAGCCACTACATCTTTAGTTGTGAAAATGTAAAGAAAGAACAGAACGTGAAAATCCATTGTTGAATGTAAAAATTATTAATTCAGTTCTAGTGTTCTATGTTTTACTGTTTCGTTCGATTCTACCGAATAGAAGAAAGTGAGAAACGGCAACAAAAAAAAAAAAAACAAACAACTGAGAAATCACAAATGTGTCGCAGTTATCTCATATTTTCTGCATTTTCAGTGAATTTAGTAGATTAAGTAAATTCTAACATCAAGTAAAGAAATAAATGCAATTATACTTATTATAAATTATGAAATAACAAAATGCATTATGAATGGCAGATAACACAGGTCTGCGATGGTTTTATTGTCTTGAAGTTTTTACATGTTCTACAGTAATTCCTGTACGCTGAATCTGAAAATGATATCTATTTTTTTCCATGACGTAGAGATTTTTCATAAAATGTCATATTTTCATTGAAATCGGGTCAAATTTTGTTATGCTTAAAATGTTGACAACCACTGATTATAGATTTCTCTAGACCAATCGCGACGTGAGAGTTTTATCAATCGTTCTAGAACCCACGAGAAACACACATAATAATAATAATAATAAAATTATTGTGATAAACGCAATAATAATTTGAACTACGTAAGAGATTTTTTTCCCGATTTGTAAAAAAATCCTTACACGATAGAAAAAAAAATGAATATTATTTTCGAAAGCTAGGTAGCTGAATTATGGGAAATCCGTTATTAAAAGAACAACTTTTATGAAGTTTAAATTCGCAGATCTGTGTAATTTATTTCGTATATTGAGTATCTAGAATCTCTAGAACTTAATCTGCAGGCTTACGACACTAAAAATTGGGTTTGATACCTGTAGTGGGCAGAGCACAGATAGTCCATTGTATAGCGTTGTGCTTAAGAACAACCAAACCAAATTCTAAAACTTACTCTGAGGTTCGATCGCAGTAAAGAAATCAGAAAAAAATAAATAACTTATAAATGTTATGGATAACGGGATCAATAAATACTTGCAGCTATATATATATTATTCATATTAATGTACCAAAACATAACATCTCAAAAACACAACTGCTCATATCTTTATCACTTTTCCTATAACACAAATTCTACATATTTCCTTCAGCATTTTACTGATTGGAAAAGAATGAGACTCTTGTACAGTTACTGAAACAAAATAAACTTATCTTTGTGACTTTAATGAGTTACAAAATAAACTTATCTTTGTGATTTAATGAGTTACAAAATAAACTTATCTTTGTGACTTTAATGAGTTACAAAATAAACTTATCTTTGTGACTTTAATGAGTTACAAAATAAACTTATCTTTGTGATTTTAATGAGTTACAAAATAAACATATCTTTGTGACTTTAATGAGTTACACAATTAACTTATCTTTGTGACTTTAATGAGTTACAAAATAAACTTATCTTTGTGACTTTAATGAGTTACAAAATAAACTTATCTTTGTGACTTTAATGAGTTACAAAATAAACTTATCTTTGTGACTTTAATGAGTTACAAAATAAACTTATCTTTGTGACTTTAATGAGTTACAAAATAAACTTATCTTTGTGATTTAATGAGTTACAAAATAAACTTATCTTTGTGATTTTAATGAGTTACAAAATAAACTTATCTTTGTGACTTTAATGAGTTACAAAGCAATGTTTTGGGAATTATAATTTCTTTACATGGTCACTTCAGAAATAAATACTTTTCAGGTTTTACAATCTATTCACGGTAGACCTACTACGTACCTGTAGTTGACATAATAGCTAGAATCTCTCCACCATGGACCTCAAAAGACAAGCCATCTAGAAGTTTAAGTTTTGTCTTGGCACTCCCACACAGACTCTGGAATAAAGAAGTCTTGTCGATCTCGTAAACCATTTCGCGTACCTGCAAATGAGGATGCGTGAAAGGAACATTGTTGTTTTTGCCCACGGGTGTTCCTTTCTGGACATCACGATGACCTTTAGACTCAGATGAGTTGAAAGTGAGGTTAGATTCAGCTTTAGATTCTGCAGGCTTACGACTTTCCTGACGACCAATTACTCCTGGCATTGGATCCCGTTGATATCCGTTTCGGGAGGCGTGCTGAGCTCGTTGTTTGGAGCTACGATAATCCTTATGGTTGTAAATTTCGTGACTCAAGAGGTCAGCTTCGCTACTAGCTCTAGGATGTTGATCTGGACGTGCAAATGACGTTTCAGCCATGTGGTCACTTTGTTTGGTTACTTGATTACGAAATTCCATATTAGTGCGAGCTCGTCTGCTTTCCGTTAATGGTGACCCGTCATCACTCGAATCATAACCACTTGAGCCATTGTAATGAACTCGTGATGGAGGAAATACTCGAGGCAAACCGAATCGCAAGTAAGAGAAAGCAGTACCACCCAAATCTGATTGCTGCTCTGGTCGGCCATATTTAGGATGACGGAGAATTTTCTGTACCGTTGATTCCTGGAGGTGGAAGTTTCCAAAAGGAGGTTGAGACTTTTCTGAAGTTCCCAAAGCACTGTCAGTAAAATCCGAATTGAGATTTTGTCTATAAATACTCCAGGCATGCAAATCTTCTACAGTTCTAGATCGTGCAGAAGGTTCTGACAAGATACTTGTAGGAACAGCATAACGTCGCTTCATTGAGCCCATTTCCCACATATCTTGGTTACCCTACAAAAATACAATGCTTTAATCGCACAGAAAGTAAAACAAACATAATTAAACTGAAAGTTATACACTACTGATAAAGTAATAACTCAGCAAACATAGTTTTAATGCACTATGATGTTAAAATCATTAAATAAGTCTTAAATGTTTTACATGTAAATTGGTAATACACATAACTTACGAGTGGCTCGGTCTCTAATAAATGAGTTGGGCATTTCCATATTGTGTCGGTTTGTGAATCTCGAACAGCGATATACTTCTGAACACGCTCTGTACTTTCATTTGTGGGTGAGTTATAAGAGTGACAATCAGTTCTGTTATTCGGTTGAAAGAAAAAGACAAAACCTTTATGGTACTTTGTGTTTCTGTACAAATATTGATGCACTAATGGAAGAATTAGGTACTGAACATCATCCTCAAGAATGGAGACTTTTTATCACCTCATCTAAAGTGAGTCTGAAAGCTTTGCTTTTGCACAATGGGAACACTAAGCCATTGATTCTTGTTGCTCATGTCGTGAACACGAAAGAAACTTATCAAGGCATGCAGATTACACTTGAGGCCATCAAATATGATCATCATAGGTTATTGGACTCCTGCTAGGCCTGCAGAATAGGTATACCAAACATTGTTGATTTTTGTGTCTTTGGGACGGTTGAGATGATAAAAAATCATTTAAAAAAAGAAGGAATGACCAGTGAGAGAGAATTACGTACCAGGGAAACAGAATATAGAGTATTAACCTTTAGTGAATCATCAAAATGTGTACCTGCACCACTTCATGTTAAACTGGGACTCATGAAGAATTTTGTAAAAGGAATGAACAAAAATGGTAATGATTTCAGATATCTGCTGTCTGACCAGTTTCCAAAAATCAGTAAAGTGATATCTTTGTTGGGCCATAGAAATACTAGAAGTACTGATGGATAGTGATTTTGAAACAGTATTCAACCAGAAAGTAGTTGCTGCGTGGAAATCATTCCAATTGGTTGTCAAAAATTAATTAAAAAATCACAAAGATGAAAACTATGCTGTGATGATTAATGATATGCTCGATAACTACAGGATGTCACTTAAGATGAATTTCTTACACTCTTATTTAGACTTCTTTCCAAATTATCTAGGTGCAGCGACGAGCAGTGAGCATGGTGTATCGTGAGACTCTTTGTAACTAGGAATAAAATCCGGTAAACTGCTTTTACATCTACTTTATGTGTGGTTTCACGGCGATAAAGTTGAAATATGAAACTTTTGTTAGAATATTATGAACACTAGAAATAAACGACCTTATAACACCAAATCTGGCCCGGCATGGCCAGGTGGTTAGGGCGCCCGACTCGCAATCAGAGGGTCGCGGATTCGAATCCCCGTCACCATGATCGCTCTTTCAGCCGTGATGGCGTTATAATGTGATGGTCAATCCCACTATTCGTTGGTAAAAAGAGTAGCCCAAGAGTTGGCGGTGGGTGGTGATGACTAGCTGCCTTCCCTCTAGTCTTACACTGCTAAATTAGGGACGGCTAGCGCAGCTAGCCCTCGTGTAGCTTTGCGCGAAATTCAAAAACAAACAAACACCAAATCTGTTATTTTTCTTTAATTGGACACTCAACGTTTCGCTTTAGAGCTTTACGGTCTGTGTTTTAGTGAAACGCTCCTGAAGAAGCTGTAAAGAGAAACGTTGAGTGTCCAATTACAGAAAAATAGCAAACTTTGTTTTATAAGGTCGCTTATTACAAGTATATTAAAAATGTCTTTTATACACTAATGTGCACAACAGAAATTAAATAATAACATATTATGAAACTGAACATACACTGCTGACATTCGACTCCGAGTTGATAAAGTGTAAATATCAGGGTTTTTACCCACTTCACCGCTTGATGTATCCAGTAGCATTCCATACCAGTAACAAACTATAACAAGATGCATCAAACGACATTACAGCTATTTGTGTAACAATATACGGGGTGAAAGAGATCGTTTGTAAGTTTTCTGCCTCTTTATAAAAGCGGTTTTATAACACCGTTACAAAGAGATCAATTCATCTCACACTTATATCTGAGTTTGTTTAAAACAGGACAAAAAACAAAGAAGAATAAAACGAATTTTATAGAATGAATAATAGAACATCAATAAGATCACGTTATCCGTAGTAATGAGTCAAACTGTCAACAGTAAAAAAAAAACTTCAAAAGATGCTCCACCGAAGACTATCACGTGGTCGTGGCTACAATATGTGGGTGATACATTTGTCACATGATATACCATTCGGAAACAGGAACTAACCAACCATTTCGACCCATCATGGCAAAACATAGCTGTGTTAAATTTACAATGAAAACGGGTAAACTAACTCACAGCGACAAATATTTATACTGTATTACATCATGTATACATTACAGCAAGATTAGGATTCTTAAGGGCCTAATAACAAAGATGTTTCATATTTGTGACACTGACTATTTTACAGCAAGAACATTTAACAATAATTATTTCCAGAAACGGGTCTAATAACAAAGATGTTTCATATTTGTGATACTAACTATTTTACAGCAAGAACACTTAACAATAATTATTTCCAGAAACGGGTCTAATAACAAAGATGTTTCATATTTGTGATACTGACTATTTTACAGCAAGAACATTTAACAATAATTATTTCCAGAAACGGGTCTAAGAACAAAGATGTTTCATATTTGTGATACTGACTATTTTACAGCAAGAACATTTAACAATAACTATTTCCAGAAACGGGTCTAATAACAAAGATGTTTCATATTTGTAATACTGACTATTTTACTGTAAGAACATTTAACAATAATTATTTCCAGAAACGGGTCTAATAACAAAGATGTTTCATATTTGTGATACTGATTATTTTACAGCAAGAACATTTAACAATAATTATTTCCAGAAACGGGTCTAAGAACAAAGATGTTTCATATTTGTAATACTGACTATTTTACTGTAAGAACATTTAACAATAATTTTTCCAGAAACGGGTCTAATAACAAAGATGTTTCATATTTGTGATACTGGCTATTTTACAGCAAGAACACTTAACAATAATTATTTCCAGAAACGGGTCTAATAACAAAGATGTTTCATATTTGTAATACTGACTATTTTACAGCAAGAACACTTTAACAATAATTATTTCCAGAAACGGGTCTAATAACAAAGATGTTTCATATTTGTGATACTGAGTATTTTACAGCAAGAACATTTAACAATAATTATTTCCAGAAACGGGTCTAATAACAAAGATGTTTCATATTTGTGATACTGACTATTTTACAGCAAGAACATTTAACAATAATTATTTCCAGAAACGGGTCTAAAATGTTTAAATTAAAAACACAGTTCTAAAGAACAAAATAATAATGTAATTAAAATAGTTCAAATAAAAGCACAAAAAACGCTTTTCAGATTGGTTATTGAAGTAAGGAAACCAAACTGAAGCCAGCTACTCTGGTCATACGTTAACCAGAGGAATTGTACATTACAAACTAATCAACCTTCCTCAACAAGCGATGAACTCAAGGACGTTTTTGAAGATCAGTTAGGTGTGACAAATGTGGGTGAAGAAAACGCTTCTAATGTAGCAAAAGAAAAGGAGCTTTTTACCCTAAAAAAGATAATTTTTGGATTTCTGTTACAAAGTTATCTGCCCGTCACGTGATTACAGGCAGTCGCAGGTGTAATTTTTAAGCCCTTTTAAGAGCTGCATTTCAGTATGAATAGTGTCCTAATTATAGAACTAAAACATTACTATCAAAATAGTTACATCGTGTTTTATTATATTCGCTTTTTATTGTTCCACGTTTTAACAGATGACCTTCAGATATAACGATAAACAGGTTTCTATGACAACTCGCCAACAAAGCTGTATTTTCGATGACGAGGAACCCACTTTGAGACTAATAATGGCTGGAGACGGCTTAAATGGGTAATGAAGAAAAACTT